CATTCCCACGCGCGCACTCCAGCCACACGTGGGTTGCACCGGGCTGCGGAGGAGAACCGAGCTGGGCGAGCTCGTCTGCGGAGCGAAAACAGCCGGCTTTAACCAAGACAGGATTGAGCCCCCTGCCTAGGAAAAATGCCCGGGAGGGCTGTTCTCTGGGGTCCCCCCTCCATTTTTTTTTTTTTTCTCGTTCCCCGGAGCCGCCTTTAGGAGAAAGAGAGGGACGCGCACGGGGCGGGCAGAGAAATGCGTGGTCTGGTCGGGTTGGAGTTCCGGGGACCCCCGTGGAGGGGAACCTCAACAGACTTTCTGTAGCCTCGCGGGGGTTCCTCAGCCTGTAGCCCCGCCTGGGGTTCAACAGGCCTGGGCTCCTAAATAAAGATAACCGTGAGCAACCATTAAGAGTCAGCAAGCTTTGATCCAGATCTGAAACGACCCCTTCCAACCTTGGTTTCGCAGTCCGAATGGTCCCTTCAGGATCGAGAGGTTTTTACTTTAACAACAGGTTGCCTGAACTAGCTTTTCTTTTCTTTCCATCCTCCTCTTCCCTCCATTTCTCCATGGGTGGGGTGCTTTTAACTGTAACACTAAAGGCACTGCCTTCGCTTGTAAACTTGCCTCTGGATCTCTGTGATCCCTAAGAGATCTCAGGTTGCCCATCCAATTCTTTTCTGCCTCAATTGGGATGCATTTGAAACCAGAGTAAAGCTAGGCTGTCCATCAACTTTTATTTTAAAGGCTAGGGGAAACATCTATATTTCCTCCTTGGTGAGAACTGCAACTTCATTGCTTCTCTGCCTTTGAGGTCTTAGAAGGGGAAAGGTGGCTTAACGTTTTCAGCTCCCTCTCATAACAACTGGGTGGATTTTTCTTAAAATACAAACCAGACAAATACAACATGAAGGAAGAACATGTTGGGAAGGACATTGATTATGTGTACCAACAACTTACTTTATTCTCCTTTTGCATGGAGGAAGGAGTCAGAAGATGTTAGATTCTCCATGACCTTTGGTAGGTGGAGCAGACAGCATTGGCTTCCTCTCCTCAGCATTGTGAGATCAGCTGAAGAGAAGTCAGAGGATTATTTATAAGCTCTTTCTTTCTGTGGGTGTGGCATGCCCTAAGAGGAGAGGGGACCAGACAGAAAAATAGGAGGAACAGGCTTTTCAGATGGCCTTCCCAGCCTAACATAAGCAGAGCCTTCCTAAAAACATCACCTGCACGTAGACGAACATTTATTCAATTACAATTCCTGATTAATTCAATTCTCTTGCCTTGGTGCTGAAGCCCTAAGGTAAAACCCATGTGATGGATCCATCTGTAGAACAGAAATGGAGAAATGTTTCTCTCCCACTTCAGGCCTCTCGGCCCTGGGAAGATTTTTGATCTGACGTCAACTGGAGCTACTTGGATTTCTGTCTATCTTGGTGGTGGTTGGGTCTGGGCCAATGCAAGTTCAAAGTCAATTGCCTTATTCTTTGGTTACATATTAATCCCACCTCCTATTGATTCAGCCCTGGCTTCGCCTTCTTAGAAGCCAAAAACTTACCCGTAGTATTGCTGTCCTTGTTAAAAATTAATTTTTGGATACTTTTTCCAGTATCTGTGGCATCTTTCTTTCAGGACACCACTTTTTTCTTCTTGCACACACATTTTGATTTGCCCGTTACTGATGAAAATTGATTTTTATCTTTTGGCATTTTCTTAGGCCAAACCAGGAGCGTTTGTTATGTCTTTCAGAGCTCTGGGCCAATTGATCAAATTAGCTTTGCTAATTCGTCTGCAACTGATTCTGAGCGATGGGATGGGATCGTGAAACATCTTGGGACATACGTCTCAACCACGTTGTGCAAGGTTGAGCAGAAGTTTGGACGAAGCCAAATCTTTGGACTGAGAGAGATATTTTTGCTGGATTTTTTTCGATGGCCCAAGAAGAGCAGGTCCTGTGAAAAAGGTGCCCCCCCCCCCAATGGAGCAATGCTTTTCTCTAAAAAGGCTTTCTTTTATGCTCTTCCCTTTCAGGATAAGCCAACTTGATGCCAAGGGAATTATAGGAAACTGGAGGCTGGAATTGCTACATTGGAACAGCACAGTCCCCGATATATATGATGGGCCTTTGGCCGTATCTCAGTTGAGCTCTGTATCCCTTGATTGTCCCTTTGCAAATGTTGCTCTCGCTCCTCTGTTCTTCATCTGTAGAATGGGTATAATTCTGTGGTGCTGCTTTCAAGGGTGAACAGGGAGACCAACGGTGCACACACAGAAGTGCTTTGGAGCTCTTACCCTATAAAAGGGACACATGGTAGTAACTGTATAAAGGCCAGAGAGCAAGTGAGGCCAGACAGCTATAAACTCCAGCATCTCTTAATTTAGAAATGCACCATCATAGCTATGTACCCAACCTGCCCTTCGGTCATGCCAGGGTCTCGGTGGTGGTGGTTAGTCGTGCGCGGGCCTGTGTTTGAAGCCACAGCTCTTTGCTCCTCGAAGCAAAAGCATGTAAATAAAACAGCTCGGCTTTTCCGTGGCACGTCCAGCAATCCTTTAAGTGGATTAAGGGCAATCACACAACCAAAGACGGGTAACTCATTTTGGAGTGAGCTAACCGGACTGTAAAATGCACAGCTTTCCACCTGCGTTTGGAAGAGAAGGCTTGCTTTTCTAGAAGTGGGGTATCTGATTCCACAGCTTGAACACTTTGGGGCATGCGGTTGCTTGTCTCAACTTAAAAAAGAAAACCGCCTTGTCGAAAAAGCATTTCTTTCAATGGGCCCCCTTCCAGACTCCCCCCCAAACTATTTTTTTGCAGACTCCTGGGAAGGCAGAGGCCTTGCCAGGCAGTCTTTGGAGTAAAACTGAGGATTGGAATTTAGTTCTTTGAAAGCATGGGTGAGGTGTGACCATTAGCCAGAGTTTTATGCAGAAACATCCTTTTAGGACAATGTGACGTTTGCCGTTAGCGTTTTATGCAGCCTTCTCAATCAGCCCAGTAGTCCCCAAAGCAGGGAAGCCATGGGGGTTAGGAAAGGGGGCAATCTATCTTTCACTAAGTCAGCCCTGTCTCTGGCAGCTTGCAACCTCTGTCGGACGGTGGGAATATACGATTTAGAAATGAAATCCAGCAGGAACTCAACAGACCCAGCCACGCCGTTCAAGTTTCTGAATCAAGTCTCCAGTGCCCTTTGGAACCCGCAAATGGAGCCAAATGCCTCCAAACCTGTTTGGAAAAATCTGGGCCCCATTTTGAGATGGGACCACTTTTGCACATCTGCATATGTCCTTTCTTCAAAACGATCTGGAAGATCAAAGATCAAAGCAAGTCTGACACAGATTTCAGTGCAAAGTGAACACTATTCTTAGACTATAATTCAGTGTTTCTCAACCTTGGGAACTTTAAGGCGTGTGGACTTCAATGCCCAGAATTCCCCAGCCAGCCATGCTGGCTGGGGATTTCTGGGAGCTGAAGTCCACACGCCTTAAAGTTCCCAAGGTTGAGAAACACTGCTATAATCTAATATGTGGATTGGTGCCACATCCAAATTTTGGGTTTAATTACACACAGAATCCATATTTCAATTTTACAGGAAATTTAAATCAGAATATTTTTTTTTCAATATGGATCTAGCATACTCCAGAGTATAATTCCATCTGGTGGTTTATACTGTGTGGGCCATGGTTCATTTTTAGATTAATAGAGATTTTTGGTCCTTTAATATACAATATAATCTATAATCTATTTATAGCTAATTAATGATAGAGTAGAAATCTATCATCTCTCTCACATTTTAAAATCCCTGTTTTGTCGTATTATATTCTTTTGTTCTTTTTTCCATGTTCTCTTGTACTGGTTTATATATTTCTTCAAAGTGTCCAATAAAAACAAAAGAATAAAATAAGAAAGTCCAGATCAGTGTGATTTTTCAAACTGATTTGGAAGCGTGAATTGGACCAGTTTTCTGAATCAATTCAGAAGTCCTCAGGCAGATCTATTCAGCATTTTGAATTGGTGTGGAAAGTCAAATCAAATCAAGTTCCAACCCTCTATTCTATTTCGAGGAAAGACGCAGGACAGAACCTGTACAGAAATGTAATAGGTGAGTAGGCTGCTGATGCAGAACACACATAAAAATCCTTCCAGAATAGCAGCAAATTCAAAAGCAATTTTCCAATCCTTTGGTGATAAGATTGAAAAACAAAACAAAAAACAGACGTTTCTTTGCCAGAAGAAGAAAACGTCCTCAAAACTGCACGGTAGAGAGGGCACCATTTAGCGCAGTGTTTTTCAAACGTGGCAACTTTAAGATGTGTGGACTTCAACTCCCAGAATTCCCCAGCCCGCATTTGTGGGGTTTCTTCTCCCCACCCAACACCCACACCCACCACCCCCTGGCCGAGCATAGGGGT